TCCCTATAGCAAAAACCTCCCCCCCCCAAAAAAAAAAGAAAAGCAGGTTATAAACATTAGGTTTAGAACAATGTCATTTTTGTAAAATCAAAACCAAAACTAAAACCCAAGCCCCCAAAATGTATTTATATATATTCACATATAAATAAAATTGAGAAAAACATGTTGAAGTGCTATCCATGGGAGGCGGGATTATAGATGATTTCCTTTTTCTTTTGATTTATTTCTAAATTTTTCTATTAGGAACATGAACTGCTTCTGTATGAGCAAACATTCAAAAAGTAATAATGTACAAAATGGTTTCTGTGAGTAATCAATAACTTTTCACAGAGTAGTAAAGGTAAAAAGGAAATACAAAGTCTGAAGAAATCGTCTTGCTAATACAAAAGCATACAGTACCCGGATAGAGTATCCAGATAACTAAATTTCAGGACAATATTTTCAGTAAGTGAAGTTGCCCTCTTGCAGAAACGTGGAACTAAAACCTTACCAACCTTACTTACCCTCCACAACAGAGAGGTGGTGAACATGTACATCTGTCTGTAGGGGCTTTAGGAGCTCAGGGCATTATGGGGCAGAACTAAGAATATGGGACAAGCTGTCAGCTGCTGGCACCTGTTTTTTAAATGTGGGCAGCCATACCCTCAGGGCTGTCTTTTTAAATTAAAAAAAAATTTAAATTATAGCCTTGAATTAAATTTTCCAAGCTTTTCTTTTCACATATCAATTAACAGAATAAAGACACATAGAAAGGTCACTGAGATGAAAATTAAGACACCAACATGTAACTGACTGTCAAGAAAAAAAGGGAAAGATATCACAGACGTGTGTCAATATACATTTCTTATTGCAATTTGTAGCAACCAATTAAGCAAAAGCAGAGCTCTGAGCTATAGCTTTATCTGCAGATGTCACAACTCTTAGAAAACACACACGAAAACATAGAGCAGAGCCAAGCAAAAGCTACACTCCGTACAGGGGCATCAGCAGCAGGCAGCAGCTCACAGAGTACCAACATCCTCAGCCTGCAACTCCACTCGTAGCAATATCACAACAGCAAGGACAATAAATCCAGTCTTTATGCTAAAGACAAAGTGGCCTCACTGAAGTTGGCTTAGTGCACAATTTGCTCAGGTTTAATACTTTTCTGTTCAACAAAAATGTAGACAATAATCCTGGGGAAATCTAAGACATATTTTAACAGTTTTTAAACATATAGAATGTTCTTCAATGGGGATAAACCCACGCTAAGACTGGTGTTATATCTTGCAGCATGAGTATTGCTTATGGAAATAGCTATGGCTTCAGGTGGGCAACGCTATGCACCAATGGTGCAGATGACACCTATCATTCTTGGAACAAATGTATTGCTGGTGTTTCCTTCTTTGCCTCATTAACTGTCATGTTTCCTCGGCTTATACTTTTTTTAGGCCACTTGAAAACCTAATACAAATTATAAACTATTTCCTGGATAATGGGAGCCAAATGGGATATAATTTGGGCTTCTTGGGTAGATCCAGTGCCTACCTATTCGAGTACTGGCAAATACATCAGCTAGAGACCCACTGGTTCCTTTGACCTCTCCATGAGACAGCGTAGAAGATGCGGATGAAGAAGTGGACGATCCCTGAATTGAACGGTTGATCCAGGACTCAGCATTCTGTAAGCTCTGTTGCAAGGCAGCAGAGAGCGCAGCTTGGCGTCTCAGAGAGCCCTCATCCTCAGAGGCCGAAGACGTGTCTGTGTGGAATTAGAAAAAAGAAGTTCTCGATCCTGCCTAGAACAGAGACTTTTCGGTTCTTGCTCATTGGTCACACATTCAATTTTGACACCAGCAAAACATTCGCATTGTTATGGTAGAGCAGTTTATAAAGTTTCTCAAAAATCTCAAGGAAAGGTCTAGGGACCAAAGCCTGCAAAAAATAAAATACCCTAACACTACAAGTGGTTTCAAGTTGTACTTATTTTTCAAAAACAAAACAGAACAAAACAAAAAAAACCCTTTAAGAACATTTAAACTTCATTCACTGCTTTTCTGTTCCGAGCTTAATTAGTATCTAAATTCTTCTAGTTTATCTACTTATGTACAAATAATACAAAAGTACTTACACATCTTAAATCTCATGCGTGTGTGAGCCTGCGTGTATCTGTGGTGTTTTAGACAGGGTCTGGCTGTGTCGAGACTGTCTACCCTCTGCCTCCTGAGGAGCGTAGACTAGCATGGACTACCTCACTGGGTTCTCTCATACAAGATCTTGCTACATTGCCCACATTGGCAGTGAGCCCATAATCCTCCTGCCTCCGCTTCTGGAATACGATGGGACTAGAGCTGCACACTGTACCTGGCTTTCAAGGTAAGCCAAAGAACTGAACCCAGGTCTCCCACATGGCCTTACTCTGCCAAGCCGCACTGTTTAGTATGCACTACCGTGACTGGGCCTTCCTAAATCTCTTAATTAGGAAATTTGTGATAAGTTGCTATACTGATTCCTCTACTTAAAAGGAAATGATCTTGGTCAGCAGCAATGGCGAGGCAGTAATACACCCACTCAGCAATGCTGAGTCCACAGGGGGCACTGCAGGCTCGGTTCCCCTGATGACCTGTACATATCAGGTGTGCACATGACTCCCCTTATCCTGGCTGGTTGGGAAGGCTGAGGAGAGGGTTACAACATGAGACCCTGTTGAGGGTGCCTGTCTTTGTCTCTCATTCTCATGAAATAAATAAACAAAAAAGGAAATGATCTTGATAGGGAGATAAAAAAACGTTTTCTTATCAAAACTTATGTGCTAAGCAGTGATCTATGCTGGGGAACTCAATGGGATAAGAAACAGTCCTTAGCCTGGAAGCATTCATGGTGTCCATGGAAAAGCCAGTGGAACATGCAGCACAGGTAAACTTCACACACGACAAGCAGGCAGGGACACAGCATCTGCATTTCTTTCCTTAATTCTCAAAGAAGAATTGTGAGAAATCACTGATGTCTGTTTTTAGCCTGGCTCTGACTCCAGGAAAATAAGGCCTAAATTAGAAAAGCATGTTGGAAAAAAATAAATAATTCAACCAAATATAGAGAAGCAAATGCTGAGAGAAAGAGAAGTCAGAAATTTATTTCAGGGCTCTAAACTTACAAGGCACACAAGTGAAAGGGGGCATTTGTTCTGATGTGGGACAAACCCTTCTAAATGATTTTTAGGGATTATAATTTACAACCTATAAACTGAATTTCATGCTTTTTTTTTTTTTTGGAGAGATTTTCACTGTAGGGCGCGTGCGCTCACCAGACAGACAGAGAGAGACATAGAGACAGAAAGCGAGAAATCACCCTCCAGGGGGGATGGTCACGCCGCAATCCCTTCTCCTCCTTTCTCCTCTCGGGATCTTGGGCACACACGCACACGCGCCCGGCGTGAGTTTTTTAAGCCACCGGGTCCGGGACACGAACCGCGGTCGACTACGTGGGAATCCAGCGACATAGCCATTATGCTAACTGCTGGTTCCCTTTCATGCCATTTTTAAAGTTAAATATTCTAGGCGAGCCCTACTATGCAACGATTAAGCATCACGCACAGGAAGCTGGATCCCACATGGTCAATCAAAATTTAGTCCTAGTCCTGGCAGCTTAAAAAACACTCTCTGCGGGACCAGCAGTTGGTGTAATGGCTATGTTGCTAGACTCCCATGTAGTGGACTGTGGTTTGAGTCCCAGACTCAGTGGCTTAAACTCACGCCAGGTGCGTGTGCGTGCGTGCCCAAGATCCTGAGAGGCGAATGGAGGAGAAGGGATGGTGGCGTGGCCATCCCCCCTGGGGGGTGATTTCTTGCTTTCTGTCTCTCTCTGTCGAGTGCACTCACCCTAAGGCAAAAATCTCTCAAAAAATAAAAAAAATAAATAAACCACACTGGGCACTTGTGTGTGTGCCCCAAATACCGAGGGGATGGAGAGCTGGAAGAAAAAGGACAATGGTGTGACAACACTCCACGGCAGGGTTCTTTCTTTGTGTGTCTCCCCCATTTACAAATTTGTGTATTAATGCTCTCTGGTGTTAAAAATAAGAAATGTTCTGTGTTTAGTCCTGCTGGCACACACTCCAACTTAGGTAAAAATACAGGTTCATGTCCTGCTTTGGTTCAAAGAGTCCAAGAGGAAACAGAGCTAGAAAGCTACTAGTGCTTCATGATGGGAGTCAAGCCACAAAAGAGTAATCTAAAAGTCTGCTCTGCAGGACTGAGCAAGAGAGTAACAAAACAGTGGACTATTCTATGAATTACTGCTCTTTACTCTATACTTCCTTCAACTTATCATCTCATATAGAAGGAGACCTGAGGCCCAAGACTAGTGCATCTTTTTTTTTTTTTAATGTGCAATAATACCATATAACATTAATATGCGCTGGGAATTATGTCAGGTCCTCAGGTCCTGGGGATTCTGAGATGTTATTTTTTTTTCAATTTTTAAAAAGAATTATTTAGTTAATTTTATTTATTCATTCATTTATTTTAATTTGACCAGAGATATGTTTACGAGACAGTAAGTGCCCTAATGTTTACAGGCTAGTCCAGGAAGCACACAAGCCCACAGACTATTTTAAAAGGGTACAAGAGCTGTTCGACATGGGGTAAACAGCCCGGCACAGTGGCATGCACCTGAAACCCTTCTACTTTGGGAGGCTTAAGCAGGATGATCTCAAGTTCAAGACTAAGTTGGGCATTCCAGCTAGGGAAAGGAAGTTGGGAGTAGGAGGGAGAAAAGGAAGAAAAGAGGGAAGGAAAAAATAAATCTAGGTTAAAAAAGAGAGAGGAGGAGGAAGAAATGTGGTAAGGGCAGGGCTTCAGAGGAGAGAGACTGACCTCAGCCAGGATTTCACTTACTTCTACATAAATGGAGAAAAGACTTTGAGGAGGTAAGGGGCAAAAAATGAAGGGTGAGGAAAACAGTGACTAGATGTGAGGAAGTTCCTTAAAAGACAAAAAGATCTATAAGGCAAAAGGGGATGATTAAAATAAAATGTACAGGGTCCAGCAGATGGTGTAAAGGTTACATTGCTGTACTCCCATGTGGTTGACTGTGGTTCTAGTCTCAGCCCCCGAGGCTTAAAACTCATACTGGGCATGTGTGCTTGCTGGCCCAAAATCCGAAGAGAAGAATGGAAGAGAAGGGATTACAGCATGGTCATCCCTCCAGGGGGTGATTTCTCACTTTCTGTCTTTCTGTCTCTCTCTGTCTCTCAAGCGAATGTATGCACCTGATAGCAAAAATCTCTAAAAAAATAAATAAATAAAATGTACAGAAAGAAAAGTAACAGCATTGGGGCCATAAATGGTGTAACGGTTACACTGCTGAACTTCCATGTACCCAAATGCGGTTTGAGTCCCAGATCTGGTGGCTTCAGACTCGTGCCGGGAGCACGTGCGTGTGTGCCCAAGATCCCAGGAGGAGAGTAGAGGAGAAGAGATTGGTGCCATGGCCATCCCCTGCCCCCATGGGTGATTTCTTACTTTCCCTCTCACTGTCTCTGACTCTTTCTCTCTAGCAAGTGCATGTACCTTAAGGCAAAAAATCTCTAATCCCTCCCCCCCCAAAAAAAGGCATGTGAATCCTTTCATTTCAAGAAAGCATTCTGCATGATATCTAGAGAATATTCTAATAATTCTGCAACTGTACTTGGAGGAGTGGGGGGAGCAAAGATCCCTGTCTGAAAATATGCTAAAAAGTAGTCAGAGGGTAAGTGAGAAAGGTAAATCTGACTCTAGGAATAAAGTATTTTCAGGATTAACACATCTCAGGATCTTGCAAACAGCAACAGATTTGCAGGCTGACTTTATTATAACATTTATTTTAATTCATGTAAGTCTAAAATCAGAATAACTCAATTTTCAAAAGAGTAAAACCAGCATTTTCATGATTAGGTTTGTTGAAAATTGGATTCATTATGTTTCTATACTGGATCAATTATGTAATTAGGTATATTGTCTCAATTCAATTACCTAATTTGCCTGCCGGTTCTCTTCACAGTATTTAATGACTTACAACCTAGGAGTGGCTTAATGTAACAGAATCATGCTTTAGTGTCAGCCTTCTGCTTGAACTCTGGGGTCCAGCACCTACTACTGTATGACTTGGAGATGAAACTATCTATCTGAAAAGGTTCTCGTGCTTGTCCATTCAACATATAAGACTAAGCACCATACTAGTTGGTAGAAATAAAACGTTGAGCAGGACCAGCAGTTAGCATAATGGCTATGTTGCTGAACTCTCATGTAGTTGACTATGGTTTGAGTCCCGGACCTGGTGGCTTAAACTCACACCGGGCACATGTGCGTGCTTGCCCAAGATCCCAAGAGGAGAATGGAAGAGAAGGGACTGGCGTGGCCATCCCTCTGGGGAGTGATTTCTTGTGTTCTATCTCTCTGTCTTTCTGGCGAGTGCACACACCCTATGGCAAAAACCTCTCTATAAATAAATAAATAAAAGAAAAAGTAAATAAATAAAACGTTGAGCAAGAAGACAAAGTCCCTACTCTCAGAGTCTTATAGGAGTTAGTCTTACAGGAGTTGAAGGCATATGCTCAAGGAAGTGAGATCTAAACAAAAGCCTGATGAGCAAAAAGGAATTAATTTGGGAGAACATAGGGCAGGAAGAGGGCACAGCATTTTGGAAACCTTGAAGTGGAAGAAAATAAACCACATTTGAAGATCTTAAAGTGAGGCCAGCAGGTGTCACGGTGATTTTTTATTT